ATCGCAGAATGCTTTCTCGATATGCAATCAGAGAATGTATCAACAAGCTGCTCAGCCAGAGCTAGTGAATCATCCTTGAATATATCAATGAATGTCTTCACAATATTTACCTCTTGAGCCGTCGCTCTTAAGGTGTACCAAGTCAGAAACTTTTGTCTGAAATTCTTCTCAATATAACCTGAAACTTCAAGATGTCGTATCATCTTCACGCAATGCTCCAACTCAAAATGAAAACTTGCTGAATTCTCCACCTTGACCGCCTTCTCCAGAACCGCTTCTTTTATGGCCAAATGTTTCCCTTCTTCTTCTTTTGTGCTTAAGCAATCCACAAAAGGTGCTTCCTCTTCTTCTTCTTGGGGAGATTTTGTAGCGACTTTATTGATGAAATACTCTGTAACAAGAACATCCTCGAGTCTGATCTTCGGCGATCCTTGCATCTTAGAAGGCAGTGCGAGATCATCAAGCGGTGTATCTTCGAGGGATTTCAAAGCGGAAGAGCAATGATCCTTCACTTCTGTTGCGCAGCGAAGTCTGTTTACGATTCCTCTACACATTGCCGATGGAAGACCAGAAAGAGGACCAGACAGTTCAGTTTCTAAACTCTTCACAGCTTTCTCTACGGTTTCAGCTAGTTTTGCGTACTTCTTTGTGCCCTTCAGAAGCTTCTGAGCCAAGACAAGACGGCAACAAAGTTCGTCTACCTTTCTTGTTTCCTTTGCGATCATCAATTGCTGCTTCCAACATCTGAGAAAGAAAATAACAAAATAGAATAAAGATACATCCAAGATTGTATTAGATAAAATTGAAAAAGATTTGATATGTTAATTCTTACTCAAGCAAGCTGTTTCTTTTGCTACAAGAAACGCAGTAGAAGCATCCATCGGCATCATTAATTGGCGTCTCTTCATTGAGACCCGATTTATCACTCTTGAAACATTCGAGATGGCACGACAAGCCGCAAGATTCACCGACAAATGGAGGATCTGAATTACAAGTTAACCAGCGACTAGGATCTTTGTTTTCATCATAGTTATAGCAGATACAACAAGAACACCTTTTACAAAACAATTCTCCCTGTCTCATTGTAGCCTGACAAGCCAAGTTCTTACAGTAGATATTGCCTGATCATTTTTTTTATCTTCGAGTTAGGATACAGAAAACAGAATGCAAATGGAGATTACTTAATACAAAACATGTTTTGATTACCTTTAGTTTTAACTGAATTAGTGCTCCTAGTGGCATTAACGCTCGCTGGAGCCACAAAGCGAGAAGGATTAGATTTCTTCCTCTGTCTCTTCTCAGTATTTTTACTACGTTTCACTGAGGATTCACCTGCAGCTCCTGAGTAAATTTACATTTTAATTGCAACACAACTCTTAGAAGATCAATTTATTGCATGCTACATGAAAGAGAACATAGAATATTTTTACAAAGCAGTAAGAATGATTCCAAATCAAAACTCTATACGCAGGGCCGTCTCAACTTTTTATAGGGCCTAGACATAAAGAAAATTTGAAGTCCCTTTTCAATAGGAAAAAAAAAAATTGGGCCTTCTTACAAAAATATTTTCAATAGAAATAAAACCACTTGCCACCTTTCTTAGTCGGTCTGTCTATATGTAACTACAGTTTAATCTAATTTGGTACCTCAACTAATCAACACAAAACAAAAACTTCAAAAACTCTACATGAGATTTTTATGAATATTCAGCCAAGACCGCAACTCGAGTTTGAGACATTAAAAAGTCTGAGAAATCGAAACATGAAGATAAAAAAACTCACAAAATCCAAAAGAGAATACTAAGTTTCAAGAATAAGTCAAGCAAGAGAATCCAAAAAATGTTCTTTAAGAAACCACATTCATTACTAAGTTCCAAAGCATCTCCGAAAGAAAGAATGTTTTCTCTTTTATGGCAGGATTGATCAACCAAGAGCTAATCAACTAGAAGAGTAATAGAATTAGCATTCACTATCATAAAACTTTCAAAATAAAAATGGCTCTATAGTGTAAGAACATCTTAATATATAGTACGATATAAAATCAAGAACACGTTGACAAACCAAAAAGAAAAAAATCAAGAACACATTCTTCTAATAATATCAGCAGTAAATTGGTAAAACCGTCACTATAGTCATTGAGTTTTAAGAAAAAGGTCTCTAACTTTTAATTCCATTTGATTCAAAACTAATGCAAAAATCTCCAACGATTCCAAGCACATATATTGATAAATCTTTCGAACCAAAATTTCTAAAAACTATGAAAAAAACTAAAAAAAGAAAAGATGATAAAATTACCGTCGGGAGAAGAGTCCATGTTTAGAGAGAATTTTAGAGAGCCTTATCTTCAAAACCTGGAAT